TCTTCCTTTTTTGATGCAAGGGGAAAGGCCCAGGGAAAGCAGGAGATAGATGGTGTGATTGAACAATAGACTAACCAAGAGGGAAGACCACAGACAACCTTGCCTGTCCCACTGCTTGTCACCTCACCTATGCTGAGAGCTTTCTAGGCAATGCCTTGCTGAACGAATCAACTATCTTTTCCTGCTGGCAGCCTGAGATGCTGGTGATACTGTGGATGACTGCCATCTATGGGAATGCCCACACTTCTGCACTCTGTGTGCTGAGCAGGGCCAGCTGTGGTTGTCCCCCAAATCTGTTTGCCAGGCGTATTTGTTAATTTAACAATGTAAGTTCACTAATATTATATATACAATACAGTCCCACACCTTTGGTTTGACTTAATGATTTTTCCATATTATAGTGATGAGAAAGCTGTGTGGATCTACTAGAAAAATCACTGTTTGGATTTCTTTTCCTGGGCTAGAGACATGTGGAGAGTAACCCTCTCAGAATGCTGGGCAGTGGCAGATTCTGAGGGGCCCCAACTAGCACTGTGCAGTGCGCTGTGTTGTTAAGTGAGGAAATCTGGTAGGTTGATGTGAATTCAATGCATTTCTGACTTGGGATATTTTCAAGTTACGTATTTTCAGGACATAATCCTGACCTTAAGTTAATGGGTATCTGTACCAATGAACTATTGCAAAAAGAAAGAGTTGTTGTGTTTCTGAACACAGCTTTAAGAAATGGTTTGGAATGAACTAATTAAACAAGGGAGTTGACTAAAGTAATTGCTGGTGAATTTGTTAAAGAGAAGACATTTGGAAAAATTATAAAAATGTATTTATGCAGTTTCAAAAATGTTTTGATGCAGTTTAATGATATCCAAACTGGATGGTTTATAAAGAGGTTGGCTTTTTAAAGAAGGAAACTCAAGTCCTTGGGCGCTATAGTCAGAGAGAGTCCCTGGTTCTTCCTCAAAGATGGTCCTTTGCATAACTCACATTTATCTGATGGACTTAAAATTTGTACATGCCACATCTCCTGATTTTCCGTTTACTAGTTCTTGCAGTGAACCAAGCAGCTAGAGCTCTGTATCACGTCTGAAAAAGAGCTGTGTGCTCTGAAATAAAGTGCCTCCCTTAGCACCTTGGCCTACAGTCAGCTGTGGGATTGGGGCAATCAAGCAGGAAGCTCGGTATGTTGCCTGCCTCGTTAGCATGGTCTGTGAGCCAATGGAGGCAGCAGCTACTTTGGCAAAGCATTTTCTACTAGGCAAATACAAAAGTCAGGGTTAACTATGCCAGAATCTGGGAGTGGGTGAGTCAGTGGGTAAGAGCACTTTCTGTTTAAGAATGAGAACCTGAGTTTGAATTCCCAGCACCCATGTAAAAAGCCACGGATGGCCCTGCATGCCAGTGCTGTGAGGCACAGAGACAGGAGGATTCTGGGGCTTGCTGGCTGCCAGCCTAGCTCCAGATCCTGTCACAGACCCTGGGTTAAAGGAATATGGTGAAGAGTGATAGCACAGGACACCCAGCATCCCTCTCTGACTTCCACATGCATGCAAGTGGGCACACAGACTCACATCCACACTCACATGGGCATACACCCCCCACACACATATTCCCCACAAAATAAATAAATAAAATGTCAAAAAGAAATGGCTGACACAGATTTGGACTGAGGGTTTTATGCAGGTAGAATCAGCTCAAGAGATTTCCAACTCATCTGGGTCAAAATGGACCGGGCCGTCACCAGGTGAACAAGCAGTACTGCCAGTCATGACTGCGAACCCAGGGTTCTGGACTTCTGACTGAGTCTCTGTGGCTGGTGTCACACACTGGAAGCCTGCTCGTCACACTCCGGAGGTAGGTGTGGTGTGGCGTTCCCGGCACCTAGGGGCTTGTCTACACCATCAGGTGCCTTCCCCAGTTTTCTTTCTAATGTCTGCCCAACTCTGATGATGGATAGTGGCAATAGCCAGCTCTGAAAGAGGGCCTCTGGGAAGTATGTCTGAAGCCCAGATGTTGGCTGGTCCTGGCTATTTTTTTTTAACTGAAAAACTGTTACCTCGACCTCCCACCTGACATCACAACTTCACCTCTGCTTCATTTGGATGTGCTCCCTCCCCTGTGTCACCTTACAGAATGCGACATACCTAACCAAGGGAACAGATTCGTACGCCATGTGTGCAATTAATGTTAAGACATAATAAACTGGACTGGCAAGATGGTTCAGTGGGGAAAGGTGCTTGCTGCCAAGCCTGGTGATCTGTGTTCCATCCCCAGAACCCACATGGTAGAAGGAGAGAACCTCAGCCTGCTTTCTTATACAGCCCAGAGACTATCTGCCCGGGGATGGCACTGCCCACAGTGAGCTGGGCCCTCCTGCCTCACTCGACAATCAAGAAAATGCCTCATGAACATGGCCACATGCCAATCCAATGGAGAAAATTCCTTGATTGAAGTTCCCTCTACTCAGGTGTATCAAGTTGAGGACTGCAGTTATTCAGCACAGAAATCCTGCAGTTTCGCATCCTGCCCTTTGACTTTCCCATCTGAGACTTGACCATAGACTAAGACACAGGAATGCAAAGTAATTTTGCTTTAAGGGGCACCTGAAATAAATTGATTTTATTTCTGTTTATGCTGCCCACTAAAATTCTGAAGCAGTGAAAATCTTCCCTGGTGTGTGTAATGTAAGATGCTGAAATATATTTTACTATTACTTGGACCCAGATATCTGATCTGACCCCTCCTTCCCTCTAGCCCCCTGTATAAGGGGTACATGCTAGGTAGAACCCAGCTATAATTCTTCAAATAAGGAGTTGGATCACCCTAAGCAGTCTTTCAGCCGTGAAGCACTTGTTTTATGAGTGGCCAAACCCAACTCCATCTCTGAGTCTAAGCCCTTGCTGGACCTGCTTACCCATCATTTAGGGGCCCACCGTTTAGGAGGGCCACAGTGATGCCCTAGGACAGCTGAGGAGCAGATCCCAGGTCCTGACCCTCACATGAGCACATCCTATAGATTCAGCTGCCGTCCATCTCCAGACTGCTCTCGGTGGTCTCTCTTTATCCCTCAAACCCATGCTTCAGAGCTGTGGCTTATCCTGGAAGTCTTCCAGACAAGGTCTCTGGTCCCCACCGGCAGACACCTCTCTCCTGCTCCTGTAGCTACCTTTCTGCCCCTATCATTTCTGCAAATGTTCAGGGGAAAATCCCCAGACCTCACCGAGTGCCATGGTCCCCAGGAGAGCTACAGACTTGACAGCCCCAACAGCAGAAGGATGCTAAAGAGAGAGGAGGTTGCTGCTGCAGTGGCTTTCAGTCAGGTTATGCTCCACAGCAAGAAGGGGATGGGCTGGAGCCACTCAGATCTGCGTTCAAACCTTACTGCCTCCAGGGAGTGTGTGCTGATCATCTTCAATAAAGAACCAGAACCAGGCTGGGGTGTAGCTTAGTGGTAGAGTGCTTGCTTAGCATACATAAGGCCCTGGGTTTGATCCCCAGCACTGCAAAAGAACCCACACAAAACCGAATGAACCAAACAAAAAGACTCTAGGCAATAACAAAGCCCAAGCCCAGTATCACAAGTAAATATTCACTGATGACTCAGGCACAGTGCCATGTGGCCTGCACTGGGGCTCTGAGTATGCACGTTTGCAGATCAGCCCCTGCCCTTGGTGGGCTTCTCATCAGCTGGAAATTCACACAAATGTGATCCTGTGAGAATGCGGCCTTTCTAAGTCTCAAGTTCTTTACCTGAAGCACAGGGACAATATAATCTCTTCAGAGAACTGACCACAGACTATTTTAAATATTATCTTTGAAAGTATATGGCACACGTCTATCTGGACTCTGTCTAGATATAGGCTCCTTGCTTGACCAACTCTCGACTTCACCCACTTTTTATTTCCCTAGTCCAAGGTGATAGCTGTCTGCTCCTCTCTGGTCCACCTCTCCTTTCTCTTAACTTGCATCTATAAAAAATGCCAATGAGTTCTTAGTAAATTTTAATAGAAAGGGCCAGGGGAGGAGTAGCTCTGTGATCTCATCCTCCCTGAAATCCTGTCCCCAGAAAGAACAACCAAAGCCTCTTTAACACAGTGTTGCGGTGGGTCCTAGTTCTCCAGGCTCCACAGCATGGACATGCTGACCACTGGTGACAAGCCTTCTTTTCCCTCTGCCCCTTCTCTTCCAAGGACTGCATCTTTCAGTGTGTTGAGTCTTTATTCACCATGTGAAATAGGGCGTTTATTACATGTCAACGATGTAAGAAAGAAGTTAGCAAAGACCCCTTTTCCCTTTGTGGTCACCAGGTGCTGAGCATTTCTGTTCTCCCAGCGGTAAGGGGAGGTGTGGGACACAGCAATTCTTCTCACCATAGTCAGTGTTTTCAGGTTCCCAGCAGTTGGAAGGCCAGAAGTAAGGAGCCTGGGAAAGAGCACAAGGGGTCAGGACTAGAGGTACACAAGTACAGGAATGAGAAATTTAGTTTGTGGCATAGATATTTCTTATCTTGAAATACATTTCTGGCTGCCACAGTTTCCTGGTACACAGCCTGGGTATCCCCACCCCTTTAACACTTCTGAACTGTGCTTCCGAAACCTTTGGCTTAGACCTGGACAGAGCTGCTGACCCTCTGTGTCTGTTCCCTACAAGGCAGAGTCTGGGAGAAGCTGTCCCTTGAGAATAAATGAAGAAATAGGAGCAAAATATCTGCTCTGGTCTGAATCCTGTTCCTCCAGGTGAGGCTCTTAAAGAAATGGGTTCTTCAGGAGGTAAAGGAGACACAGAGCCCTCGTGTATGAAACTAGTGTCCTTATTGTTTATTTTTTTAAAAAAGACTTGAAAGAGATCCCTTATCCTTTCCACCATATGAGGACATAGTTAGAAGGTGCCACCTATGTAGCATGGTCTCTCACAAGACACCAAACATGCTGGCATCTTGACCTTGGATTCTCCATCCACTAGAACTATGAAAACTGAATTTCTGGTGTTTCTATGCAGGGCATTCTGTGATAACAGGCCTGAGAGCTTAGACAAAACCATAGGCTCTCAACGACAGCCTTTTAATATTCTGAAAGTGGGTCACCCAGCTAGGAATTGTTTTGGCTTTCCTAGTGCTGCAGGGGTGAGATTCCCTTAAATACCCCTAGTTGTTCTAGGTGGTACCAATCTGAGGTTGCATGGTGATGAGCTCAGGAGGAGCCTTCAGACTTACCTGGAAACGGTAAAACGTGCCATCGTCCTTCATGGTGAGAACGTGGTCCGAGATTGGGAAGATGTAGCCCTGGGCAGCAATAAGGCTTCCCAGGTGTATTGCTTCAACTGCAGGAGGAGAAAGGAAAGGATGGGGAATCAGGTCATTCAGTTAGAACATGCATTCGGGAGAGCAGAAAGGTGACCAGAAGTCAAGTGTCAACCTCCTAGATGCTGCTGCTGCTGCGGCTGCTGATTGACTCGCAGGGCAGCGAGGCTGGAGGATGCTGACAGTCGAGAGGCCATCATGTATCTGGGCTCCCCTGAGAATCTGATAATGTCCAACCATCCACCCCCAATGACTTTCTAGAAGACATTCAGATCTAGTTCCACAATCAGAACCTTGAGCATTGGAACAGATAAACTTGCACCTAATGAAGTGAGATATCTCACACAAGGTGCTTAACAGTGTCTGGTGCAGGGTCAGTATTCAGATGGTGCTGGTAGCCCTGAGTCTTAGTTCTAAATTCATCATGTTTTATCCTCCTCAGCAGTGGGGTTGCAGCCCAGCAGCCCAAAGAGGTTTCAGAAGCTTGCTGTGATGTGGCAATTCCCTGGGTGAGGAGAAGGGTCTATCTCCTTCTCTGATGGGTATAAGGTAAGACCTCCGTTTCTCAGAAAATCAGAGGAGGGACAATAGGGTGGGTGCCACAGATGGCCAAGCTGATAGAAATATGTGTATTTCTGTCACAATCCAACCTACTGCCTCATTAGCTCAGCCCATCAACAGTAGATTAGCAACATCGGGGTAAACTACAAGAGGGTCCAGCAAAAGAATCACAACCCATAGGCCCAACATCAAGTGTGGGCACTTGATTCAAATGATCAGAAATCAAGGAGGTTGGGGGCTGCTTAATCTGGGATATCTAATATTTCCCATGAATGTCCATCAAGAATATCAGAGAAGAGGTTCTGGGGACATGGTTCAGCGGTAGAGTGCTTGCCTAGCATGAATAAGGTCCCAGGTTCAGTACTTACTACTGTGAACTTCAGAGTAGATCTATAAATGATATTTGTGAATGTGACCTTTGAGAATTAATACCAGTGAAGGCAGACAAATAAGTGAGTGCTGAACTCAGAAAAAACAACAAAACAAAACAAAATCTCATATCACATGGAGGAGAATCAGCTTTACTTGTCTAGAATTTTCATTGTCGGGGAGCCCCATCCCCAGTTCCTAATTACACTGTGATACCACATTTTCCTGCTTCTTTTCTGTTGGGAGGATCGCTGTGGAAACTGTCTTATTGGTCAGGGTTTCCTTGTTTTTCTGATAAAGTTTGCCTAATTGAAATGCACAATTAGAGTTGAAAAAAACCCGTCTTTACTTCTCGAAGGAGCTGAAAACAGAAGGAATTTCAGCAAATAATTAAACATCTTAATTGTGGATCAGGCAATCTAATTTTAAGAACTGGCTCTAGAAGGCTGTTGTGTGACAGGGCTACAACTTCTCTTTAATTGCTGTGGCTAACGAGAATCCATCTCATTTCACACACTATTGTATTGAGCTCTTTGGCATTCTAAATAGTGGTTCATTTCCTCAAAGGGTGATTTCCACATGAAGATAGACATTCAGTGGAGAAAATAAATGACTTTTCTTTGCAACTAGAATAATTCCACATCTTGAAATCCACACCAAGAAGCCTTCTTTTAAAGGCTGTAGAGAACCCAGTGGAGCAGTGTGTGGGTTGTGTACTGACACCAGGGGAGGTCAAGGCAAGGCTGAGGGTCAAGTACCTGGGTCCTCAATGGAAAGGTTCTTCATAAGCCACTGCACAACGTCAGTACCTGCAACAACAAAGCAGTTTTAACTGAAGATGTCATGAGGGGCAGAAGAAACATTTTTATTGGATTCCTAAGCCCAGCAAGCACACAGCCTGGAAGCTGGTAATTCTGACATTTTCCCATCTTTACTAATCCTTCCCACTCATTGGGATATTTCCACAGTTACTTTAAAAAATATTTTATTTATTATTTTTATTTTATGTGTATGGATGCATTGTCTGCATGCATGTAAGTATGCAGACAGTGTCATGTAATGCCCTCGGAGGTTACAAGAGGGTGTCAGATCCCCTAGCACTGAAGTTATGGATGGTTGTTAGCTGCCATGTGGGTGCTGGAATTTGAACTCGGGTCCTCTGCAAGAGTAGCCAGTGCTCTTAACCACTGGTCTGTCTTTCCAGTTCATATTTCCACAGCTATGATTCAATTCTTTCTTTCAATGGAGATAGGTTCTCATGTACCCCAGACTGGCCTTGAATTTTCTGTGAATCTGAGGATGCTGAGATTACAGTCCTGTGCCACCATGCCTGGTTCATGCAATGCTGGGGATGAGCGCAGGATTTCACACACGCTAGGCAAACACTTTAGCAGTTGAACTGCACTCCAGCCTATAGCTCAATTATTTTATAAAAAGTTCAAATCTACTTCTGATGACTCAGTTATATCCACTTTTCCAGACACCATCTATCAAGATTTCAATGACTTCCTGAACCTTTATCATGTACCCCTTACCCCCAACCATTTCCTCTTCAATTTTCTGCCCTGACAAGGGCTGACCAGCATAGGTAACCTCACAGGTTCTTGGAAAACACTCTCACCTCTTCTGGCAAGGATCCACTCTGAATCAGCACGCCTCTATGTTTGTAGTAGAAACTTAGATGCATTTACTGAAAGTTTTCTTTTTCCTCTGGGCCTCAGCTACCTTACATTGGCTGTTTACCAACTGGGTGTGGGTAGAAATGACCTAGCACTTCCAGATCTGGTCTATGAGAATGCCCACGTGTACCTTCTATACCTCCATATACTTCCCTTATTTATCTGGGGGCCTGGTGAAGCAGAGCCACAAAACAGAGCCGCAATGCAGAAGGAGCCGTGGATCCCACTACGAAAACAAATGCCCTTTTGGGACCCTCAGGAGAGTGTTACAACCTGTGTTTAGAAGAACTCCAGTACCCAGGAACTCACAATTCCCCACTAGACAGCCTGTTTAAGCGAAATCATCTGTGAACAGAAACATGCCCATCTCTCATTGCTTCCCTTTAGTCCTCTGATGAGAGAAAGCAAACAAACCCAGGCCTTATCACTCTGAGACCATCCCATTAGATTTTGGGCAGTCCTTCCATAAATCATCAGTGTCCTCATCCCCAGTGTGACAGGCCTGAATATGCACATGTTTCCTCACATGGCCTGGCCTGGAGCCTCTCATCATTGGTCATAGTCCTCCAAAGAAGTTTCCTTTTGTTTGTCTCCCTTTGAAAAATGGTCCCTAGAATCCATGTTCCAGGAACAGCAGAATTCACATAAAAGTGCAAGAGTCCAGTTTTTTGGAAGGTTTTAAACATCTAATCAATCCATTTGTCACCCAAATACCTTACTTTTTACCAGCACAGACCATTACATGCAGTGGCTTTATCATCTCATTGGAATGCCTGATGGAAAACAGGCGGAAAGGGGCAGTATTTCCAGATAGCTGAATCTTGATGGGTCTGAGGCTTGGTGTGAACTGCTAGTAGCATTCCTGGCTGGATTCCCAGCCAGATGAATGAGATCCAGCCGAGGGGTTTACTAAGTGGCCTGCCTTTTCTAGGAATCAAATTTTTCAATATTTTGACTAGTGCCTAGAAGTAGGGCAGTACTGGCTGGCAGTCTGGACATTCGGTTTCTGTATGACTCTATGGGACATGACATTAATGGTGTAGGAGCACTGCCGGGGCCCTGTCCTCTTCCTCTTGGGCTTCCCTCAAGGTCAACTCTTATTGACACATTTCCTCGTGCTTCAGACTCAAAAACAAGACTTGGAAGCTTCCCACCCTTGCTCCTGGATGGCATCTATGGGTTGAACTTGGATGAATAAAACACTGCCATTCATTCACATTCTTTGAGAAAGCGTAGGTCTGTGTAGCTGCGCACATGTGTGTGCGTGCTCATTTTCTCCAAAGTACACAAGTTCAACATTTGTCCTAGGAAATGAAGAACAAAGCAGAAATCAAATAAGCTGTAATCCCAAATTGGGGGTGGGGAAGACGCTCTAACCTGGTTTATTCTCCTCAAAAGAAAAATAGTTCTTTTCTGTGGGTTGCCTGGAAACTGCGAGGTTTCCAGTATCCCCCGGCTCTCCCCGGGGCCTGCGGATTATCTTTCCGCTGAGCTTGCTCAACCATTATTTATCACCTGCCAAGATGGATTACTTACCCTGGGACAATGACAGCCCTTCCTTTCCCCTGTTAATTACTGTCATCATTAATATCCATGTCACTAATTAGTATTCATTCACATTGAAACTCCTTCCTTGCTATCCTGCCCACTCCCCCTCTCCCGCAGCCCCCCAGTACCGTTGTCTGGGTTTCTATCCCTTTTGGCACTCAGTCTCTGGCCTAATAGTTCTCCCACTCCACTGTTCCCTGGTCAGCATTCACCTAGCTAAATGACCACATATAAGCATCTTTCTTGTAAAGAAGAGAAAGTTACAAACTCCCTTTCTTCTCTCTGAGCACTGTTGGGGACCTCACAACAGGGTTTCTTGTCTCTGGTGCAGTCACCATGACAGTCACTGTGCCATCTGAGGACTGTTGAGGTGCTATTCCTGGGTCAGCATACTCTATGTTGTGGCATCACTCCACTGTGGTCCCCCACACACCATGGGCTCTGTTTGGTGGCACACAGCAAACACAAACACGATGGACAGTCTTATAGTCATGGCTATGCTAATTCAGGCTTTTAAAGAATGAACCATGAGCAGCCTACCTCCAGCTCTGGGGCAGGAAGAGACCCACTGTGTATTTAGTCCCAGGAACAAGTAGGAGTCGGCAAAAATGTCATAATATTATGTCATTTGAAACCACTCCAATTATGGCAAGGCAGAGCCAGAAAGAACAGTCCAAATAGCCAGCAGGAGGAAACAGTTTGCTTTCACAGTTTTGTCTCTTCTCTCTCTCCACTAAACCCAATGATCATACTTTCCTGCCTTTTATAAAAAGAATTTGAAGATTCTCTTTTGTTCTATCTAAAATTTACTGTTGCCTTTATTTCCACTGTTGGATACAGGGTCTTATGTTCATTAAAGTCACCTTACTCTAGACTTATCTTAAAAACAGATAACATCATACAACATAATATATGCAAGAAGGTTACCCTTTATACCCGAACACCCCATAACACTGAACTGGAAATTGTGATCATTGTTGTTTTTGTTTTTGTGTGTGTGTGTATGTGTGTTTTGCTGGGAATCTGTTGTTTTGAGACAGGGTCTTGCTGTACTAGCCAAGACTGGGTGTGTGATGTGCATGTATTTAGGTGGGTACATGTGTAACTATGTGCACATGCCTTTGGATGCTAGAGATGAATGTTGGCTGTCTTCTTCAATCACTTTCCAACATATTTTTTGAGACCAGGTCTCTCACTGTCCTGGAGCTCATCTATTTAGCTAGGCTTGCTGGTCCATGAATGCAGGGATCCACCTGTCACCATTGTCCCAGCATGGAGATTACAGGTGTGCGACCATGCCCGGCTTTTAGGTGAATTCTGGGAATCAGAGCTCATGTTCTCCTGGTTGTGCAGCAAGTACTTTACTGACTGAGTCATCACTCCAGCCTCACTGAGGCTAATTTATGAACAAATGAAACGGGGCTACCCATAAAATACACCTGAGGGTACCCAAGTCTCTTCACTGATATATGTATGTTGTATTACTATATTTAAGTATATATTTATTAACAACAGTTACATGCTATGTTTCTACACATGTTGTAGTATGTCTTTCAACTATATCTTTTATATATAGACATGTTTATTGAACAGGTATTTGAGATCAATATAAAAATCTTGTAATAGGGAAGTCAATAATCTATGGCTCATTCATGAAATAAATATTTATCGAACAACTCCTATGCTAAGTGGGAAAGCATATTGAAAAGAGTATACATTGATAAATCACGTTTTTTTAATCCATGAGTATATTTTATTAGGAGTTGAATAAAATCATGTACTTCCCAAAAAACAAGACAAAAAAATACAAAAACCAAAGTGGAGGCTCCCGAGGCATACCACCAAGGTTGGCCAATGGCCTCCACACACACATGCGTACGTACACACACAAAGAATTAATTCTATAAACAAAGGACCTTATTAACCGTACCTCTGTGTTCAAACTGCAGTGAACATTAGAGAGCAATTAGACAACATCCTCATTTTCCTGCAAGGACACAGGCTCAAAAGCAGAAAAGGAACAAGAGTAAGGCGTCGAGACTTAGTTCTCTTTGTTACGTGGTAGCGCTCCTCGTCTAGCATTAAAATAATTTTTAAGGCAGCTGGAGAGATGGCTCAGCAGTTAAGAACACTGGTTGTTCTTACAGAAGACGCAGGTTCAAATCCCAGCACCCACATGGCAGCTAACAACTGTCCATAACTCCAGTTCTAGGAAATCTTTCTGT